TGTTTGGTAAAATAAGTGCTTTTTGTGTAATAGAAAAGGGAAAAACACTTTTCACACGCAAGCTGAGAAAAAGTAAAAAATTGGTAGTGTTTGGTAAATGAGTGCATTTTTAAGCAAAAGTTGAGAAGTGCTTTTTTTAAACTGTTGCAAACACTCTCTAAATGTAGTGTAGGTGTACCACATCATAGTACAATTGCTATTCAAAGTGAAAAAGAGTCCCATGGACCATGGTTGTGGAAATGAAGTGTGACTAAAAAGTTTATGTAAAGCATAACAATAATACGGAGTATATGGAACGTGCGTGATTAGTACCTAGCGCCTTTTCGAACAATGATTCCAATCATAAAAAATTTATTTATTTATGAAGTGTTATACCCTGTAATTTTTTTATTTGTACTTCAACTTACAAAAAATACTTATTGTTGAGTTTAATCCAACACGATATAGTAAATATATGTATAATGTGTATGAACAAACTATCTTTACGTGGAAACCTGAAAGGGAGAAAACCACAGGATTTTTTAGGCTAATGTCCAAGCCCTCTCTTTCTCATTAAGACTCTCCTCACTATTACAATGTACAAGCTCCCATTAATGGAGTATTGAGCTAGCTAGAGAGAAATAAGGAAGAAGAAGCTCAAAGAGGATCCCTAAACGTGTGGGAAAACCCCATATTTATAGGGGAAAGGGAGTAGGGGAAAACCTACCCTAATGGGCCAAGTGGGCCGAAATGGGCCCAAAGGCCGAAACAGGCCTAATAAGCTAAAACGGACCTCACTGATCAGGCTCCGTACTACGTACAGTCTTGGGCTCCTGAACAGTAACGGACCGGGATAATATACCTCAACACAAGTCCCCCAGATTCTTGAGTAGTGAGCGTGCGAATCTGCTCGAGAAAGTAAACTCTTGCCTACGCTGTTCATGGCCTTCTTTGCACATGGCCTCGGCTTTCGGGGCAAAGACTTAACAATGCCTTTGCCTCGGTGCGAGGGATTGGGGCGTTCGGCCCACGGATGCCCGACCCGACTTCCTTTGGACGGTCGTCCCTAGAAGCTCGGCTTAGATGTGTCTTTGATTTTGATGCACGACCCCAGTTGCAGCTCTTAGAGTCGTCATTCAGCGACAATCCTCGGCTTATTCCTAGAGACGTTCGACCTCCAGATGATAGGCTTGGTCTCCTTGGACGTTCGGCCCCTTGATGGCCAGCCCGCTCGAACTCTAGTTGTTGGGGCTCGGGAAATTTCCTTCTGGACGCTCGGCCCGACATGCTTAGGAAGATTAGTCCCTAGAAACCCGACCCGACTTCCTTTGGTCGTTCGTCCCTAGAAGCTCGGTCTAGATGTGTCTTTGCTTTTGATGCACGACCCCGGTTGCAGCTCTCGGAGCCGTCATTCAGAGACAATCCACAGCTTATTCCTAGATACGTTCGGCCTCCAGATGTTAGGCTGGGTCTCCTTGGGACATTTCTACCTCAACATGCTCAGCCTGGGCATGCTCGGTCTCAGGATGTGTTGTGCGTCTTAATGCCCTCGGCCTCCAGGGTGGAGAAGCTCGTCTCCCGACCCTCGGCCTCCAGGTAGAGAAGCTCGTCTTCGGGCCCTGGACCACTGGATGGAAGATCGTCTGTAAAAATCCCTGCATCCGAGATGGGGATGATCGTCTCACGACCCTCGGCCTCCGGGGTGAAAGATGCTCGTCTTCAGGCTTTGGCCTCTGGGTGGAAGATGCTCGTCTCCAAGCCTTTGGCCTTTGCGTGGAAGATGCTCGTCTCTAAGCCCTTGGCCTGATGGTCTTCTTCAGACGCTCGGCCTCTGGGGAGGAGATGATCGTCTCACGGCCCTCGGCCTCCGGGGTGAAAGATGCCTTTCTTCAGGCTTTGGCCTTTGGGTGGAAGATGCTCATCTCCAAGCCCTTGGCCTTTGCGTGGAAGATGCTCGTCTCTAAGCCCTTGGCCTGAGTGGTCTTTTTAAGACGCTCGGCCTCTGAGGAGGAGATGATCGTCCACGGCCCTTGGCTCCTGGGGTGGAAGATGCTCGTCTCCAAGCCCTTGGCCTTTGGTGGTCTTCTTTAGACGCTCGACCTCTGGGGAGGAGATGATCGTCCACGGCCCTTGGCTCTTGGGGTGGAAGATGCTCGTCTCCAAGCCCTTGGCCTTTGCGTGGAAGATGCTCGTCTCTAAGCCCTTGGCCTGATGGTCTTCTTCAGAAGCTCGGCCTCTGGGGAGGAGATGATCGTCTCACGGCCCTCGGCCTCCGGGGTGAAAGATGCCTTTCTTCAGACTTTGGCCTTTGGGTGGAAGATGCTCATCTCCAAGCCCTTGGCCTTTGCGTGGAAGATGCTCGTCTCTAAGCCCTTGGCCTGAGTGGTCTTTTTAAGACGCTCGGCCTCTGGGGAGGAGATAATCGTCCACGGCCCTTGGCTCTTGGGATGGAAGATGCTCGTCTCCAAGCCCTTGGCCTTTGGTGGTCTTCTTTAGACGCTCGGCCTCTGGGGAGGAGATGATCGTCCACGGCCCTTGGCTCTTGGGGTGGAAGATGCTCGTCTCCAAACCCTTGGCCTTTGATGGTCTTCTTTAGACGCTCGACCTCTGGGGAGGAGATGCTCGTCCCCAAGCTCTTGGCGCCAAGGTTCTTTTTGAGCATCATCTGTTATCAGTCGTTCCGATTATGATCTTCATCTGCATAATGAAGATAGTAATGCAGCCAAATGGCCAGACAACATATATATGTGTACACCTTTTTTTTTGTCGGCCAGTGGCTCTTCCGGGCATGACGGTCGACCTAAGGGTACGATGACCCTCGGCTCGACCTGTCACCTAGTCATTAAATTAAAATGACGGTGAAATTTATCACAAGAGCTTCGCTTGGCATTATCTAATTTCGGGATATCTGGATCCCTAATAAATAATGGTGATAGCAAATTAAAGTAATAATAATAATAATATAAATACGAAGCATTTTAACTAAAAAGCATAAGCAAGAGCACTTAGCTTTTAGAAGGGATGCTCGGCGGCTACGAATTTTCGAAATTGTTTTGATTCCTTTTTGTTTGACTTGATCAACCTTGCTCAAGAGCCAAGGACTTCAATTATTCAGCCACCAAGTCCAGACGTACGTCCAAGCCAAGAGGGCTCGGCTAAGTGGAGTTCCCCAATTTTGACTTGGTCAAAATTCTTTAAAGAAAATTGGCTCTCCACTTCTCGCCGGTGGAGATGGCGGTCGCAGCAGAGCAAGGGCGGCCCGATCAGCTTATCTCCGGCGGAAGCTCGACCAACTACTGAACATCCTTATTCTGAGCTCGAAAACCACCATTAATGGCGGAATCATGAAGCTCTCCACCGGCATATCCCACAGGTCGCGTCGGGCGAGTCATGGAAGCTCGAACGGCGACCGACCAGGTGGGGGAGTAACCAGCAGTTGACCGGCGATGACGGCGGCGGTGTGGTGATGCTCTGGCGGCGGTGTGGTGATGCTCTGGCGGCGGCGATGATCCGGCCGCGGTGTGGTGATGCTCTGGCGGCGGCGATGCTCCGGCGGCGACGATGCTCCGACGGCGGCAGCAAACAGAGCAAGATCCAGACAGCCCAGATCTTCCAGAATCCTCATTTTCCCTCTTCCTCCTGTTCAAATCAGTAGTTTTTCCACTAATTGCTAAATATTGTACTCCGTATCAAACTTCACATAAGATATATGTTTCAACATTTTATTTGAATATCTATTATAGAAATAATATTTATTTTGCGGTTGTAATTTTTTAAATTTTAATTATAATAATTTTGATAGTATAAGAACAATATTGAATATAATAAAAGTCAAAACTATATGTTTGTATATTGGCCCACGGGCCAACCCGTAACCTGTTGGGCCAACCCACTTAAACTCACAACCCATGTGGGTGGACCTGCAAAACCCACAAACAAAATGAGTTAGATATGCACAATCTTAACCCGCAGGTTTCAACTTTCAACTCATTTTGATAGCTCTAGAAATAAGCTTATAACGTAAGCATAGATCTATTTTGGGACTGCTCATTGCTCAATGTACGGTTACATATACCCTTTTTATCGTTAACTAGTTTTTTCACCCGTGCGTTGCACGGGATGAAAAGTTATTTTATTTTACAGTAATTTAGTTAGTTTCCTAAATGAGTCCATAACATTTGCCTTTGAATTTGAATTTGAATTTGCACATCAAATTTAATGTGGAGTTTGTTGGTTTTCCATGTCATCACATATAAGAAATTTTAAACCGGTTGAACTCATGACTCTAGATACATATATCGATGTAAAGCTCTACATGGATGAAAACCGGTCATCGTAAGAATGATCCACATTTTTTCAATGACTTGTTTTGAGTCTTATTGATCGTCATCGTACAGCTAGGGGAGGACTCGGGTCGGGCGGCCCGACCCAGAACCGGCCCGGCCCAGTTACTGTTTGGCCCGGCCCGGCCCGGGGCCCGGTGGGTCCATCGGTTCGGTTTGGCCCAGCCCGGGTGATGGGTGGTCCGGGCTCGGGCCCTGCTTTAGGTGAATCGGACCGGGTCCACCCCTACGTACAGCTAACCATTAGAGGGAATTGCTTGTGTTGCATGGGCTTATGTGACTAAATAATATTTTACATTTTTAAAAGTTAAATGCACATCTTCAAACCTATTTTTTACTTTTTGAAAAAAATCCTCGCCTATTAAAACTTGAATGTTTTAGTCCTGAAAATGTGTCACCTTGAAATATTTCAAAAACAATTATGTTGCAAATAAACTTTGTAAGACATAGAAATGATTTGATTTATAAACCTCCATATGTATAATTTTTTTTATTTATGTGTTTATTTATTTATGCATTTATTTATTTTACATATATCGAAACATGGGTTGGTTTGATCTGTTGAAATTTAGTGTAGTCGATCCAATATAAAATATCCCAAAACATAAATCTGGTACAACCAATGAACACCAATGAGCAAAAGGCATTTACTATGCAGTTCATCAAGAGAAATATTGTTGACACTTTTATGATACCAACCCTTGCATCTCGATGCACAAAAACTTTTGGTATGCTTATAAATTTGCCATTTATGCTATCAGTGAAAATCCTTGTTTCAACATAAACATAAAATTTTTGTTAAGTTGTTGCAATACATAAGAACCAAACATATCATTATGTACACCGATACGATGCCACTGGATTAGTTTCGGTAAGCTCTGGTCAACTACTACTCTTTGCTCAAATAGGCTGTTTGTTCCAGCGGTAAACATAGTTACGCTCCATCCATTTCTCATTATAATTGCCTTGTCGACGCCCTGATACTTCCATCCATTTTGGGACACTAACCTAGTTACATTCCTATGAAATGTTTTCCTTTTAACTTTGTCATGCATATAACGTACCCTTATACAAATTAGTCTTGTGAAAACTCATTTCTGGGCTGCACTTCTCAATCCTTTCCCTCTTCCAGTGCCTTCAATTGATAATTTATGCCTGCAAAACAGCGATACATTATTTCCTACATTCACCCAAATTAATAATCATGGTTTCATATTTTGAATCAAAGAGATTCACTGCTAGAAGGTGCAATGGTTATATTACAACATATTTATGGAAAATGAATATCATTGTTATGATAGACAACCTGGTATATGATACATAGCAAATAGTATCAAAATGTAGGTGTACTATCATAAAGTTGAAAGTTAAATTGGAATGATAGAACCCACTGAACCATCCATGATCTGGTTGAATCCGAGTGGATGGAAGTTCTTTGGATTGGAAATCATGTTCCTCCACTTTCCCCTTATTATCTTACTTATGCATTGTCTTGTACATATTCATCTGCCACACATTGTGCAACGCTAAAAATGACAATCTGCCAGGATAGTTCAAACAGATATATACCTTGAGCTTGTTTATTTCGTGCAATATGGTAAAACATGAGCTGATTAATGTTTAATCATATTGTAAAGGTGATAACATAAGCTAGCTAGATACAAACACAATTTCCATATTATGAAAGCAAAAATTACTTTCCTGCATATTAACATTATACGAAGTCTTTATTACCTTTACAATATGATTAAGACATTTATTATTAACTATATTTGACTTCAACTACATTATAACACAAACCACCTTTGATTTGAACACTACAGTTACTAACAAACTAAAATAAGAGTTGATTCCTTTTGCATATCATCATATTATCCACCACTTAAGATGGATAATTGACATGAGATATTAAAACTAAAGGCCCGTTTTAATGAAATAAAAGAGATGATAAATCACACAGAGACATGATAATCCCAACCTCAGTAACATCACCTTTTGAAGTGACGTAGGATGAGGTTCCTCCACCTGAATTTAACTAAGGCGACCCTTGATGCCCTTGACGGAAATAATGTAGAGGTTTTTAGCCCCAGTGTTATCGGCGCAGTTGACCGTCGCCGCCACCGGCAAACCCAGCGACAACATAGGGAACTTGTTCTCGGCCGATCCTCCCGCCCTCGCTTAGACATTTTGAGCTTGGGAAAATCAGAATATTCTAGCCAAGTAGCGGGTAAGCAAACAAATAAAGGAAACCAAATCATAAGGTAAAACACCCATTGCCATCAAGGAAAAGCGGTAACACTCAAATGAAATAAAATGTCAAATGCTAACTGATCATAGTTAAACATGAGGCAATGACATCATAACTACACAATATCATTTTATTGTTTCTAATGCTGGTCAAATAAAGCAGCGCTAAAAAACAAACATGTTGGTGAGATCGACAAACTCCAAAACATCTTGACTAAACATGTACATTATAGGATATTATAAACTATTTTAGTTTACTTCTAGCTTAAATCTATTTCCACTATAAGCAGGCTATTACCTCCATCAACTAAAAGAATCTATTTAAATGGTGAGAGATTTTAAAAGGAGAATTATCTCTAAATATTTACCTTTGCGTCCCAATTATCCATATAAAACTAACAAAAATTATAGTATTATTCAAGTCCTCTACCGTAACTTTATTCTAATGTCAAGTTCCAAGAAGAAAAACAACAGATGACAGAAAAAGAATAAATAGCAGTATTCTTAAAGCATTGGGCCATTAGCCCCATGCTCGAATAGTGAAAGTTCATTTTTAGGTTGAAATAATAAGAGGTTGCTTCATCAAGCCAGTTTACAGTGGTGAAATTTCAGAAAATTGTGTTATTTATTTTAGTATCATATAGAGTTCTCCCAAGTGATTCACCAGAATGAATGGTTTTAGCATCTCTTGTATTTAGTTATTTACTTTAGTGTATTTAATATATTTATATGTATCTATATCTCTTAATAGATACAATGTTTCAAAAAAAAAGACATTCAATGCAAAAAAAGAAGAGCACAACATCATTTTGTGGAATTACTTAACTTCCGAAGCTCTCCAGAAAAAGAGACTAAATAAAACGTGTACCTGATGTGATCATTGCTCTGAACACTACATAGATATAGATCTTCAACTAAGTGAAGCCCCAACCAGAACCACTACAAAGAAATAAAAATTGACAATCTTACAGAAATTTCTAACAATATTTTTCTAACAAAAATTTCATTCTTGACGAATTAAAAAAGTTTTTTAGACGAATTACTCCAATCCAAGAAAATTGACAACCCAAATAGATAAATTAATTACTGATTAAGTAGACAATACCTCTACTCGTTCTTCCAAGCGTATAAGACTAATTGTAGGAAGATATACTTGATTGAGGAATTTTAACAAACACCTTCTTTCCTGAAAAAATTAACAGCTTTCTAAGTGATTCAAACCTAGTCAATCGGAAATCAATTAAAATAAAGGATAGATTATATGATTTAGAATAACAGCTTACCTCGAACTCAAATATAGTCGGCTGGATTTCCGTTAAGATGATTCTAAAAGAAGAAGAACAATCTGAAGGAAGGAATAACAATCTCCTTTTTCGGAATATTTCCGGGCAGTTGGCTCCAGGTAGATGACTTCGTTTAGATGAATAGCCATCTTCTTTTTTCGGATAATTTCACGGCAGACGACTCCTGGTAGATTTCGGCTGAAAAGTATCTTCTCTTTTGAGAAATTTCATGTTGTTGACGACACCAACAATCTCGAGGAACTCTGATTTGCGAAGAGGGAAGAAGGAAGGAAAGGAAGCGGAAAGAAAAAATAGAAGGGCGCATGTTGGAAGACAATCGAAACCGAAAGGGAAAGGTAGAAGCCAGAGATCGATGAAGAAGGTTGCAGACTTGCAGTGACGGAAAAAAAAAATTAGGCGGAAGTAAAAAGATCGGTGATGTTTGTAGGTAAAAGTTCCGGATCATTTTTAATGAACCGTGAACATGAATTTGTATGAAGGGTGAGATCATTTGTAAATCTACCGTAACTTTATTCTAATGTCAAGTTCCAAGAAGAAAAACAACAGATGACAGAAAAAGAATAAATAGCAGTATTCTTAAAGCATTGGGCCATTAGCCCCATGCTCGAATAGTGAAAGTTCATTTTTAGGTTGAAATAATAAGAGGTTGCTTCATCAAGCCAGTTTACAGTGGTGAAATTTCAGAAAATTGTGTTATTTATTTTAGTATCATATAGAGTTCTCCCAAGTGATTCACCAGAATGAATGGTTTTAGCATCTCTTGTATTTACTTTAGTGTATTTAATATATTTATATGTATCTATATCTCTTAATAGATACAATGTTTCAAAAAAAAAGACATTCAATGCAAAAAAAGAAGAGCACAACATCATTTTGTGGAATTACTTAACTTCCGAAGCTCTCCAGAAAAAGAGACTAAATAAAACGTGTACCTGATGTGATCATTGCTCTGAACACTACATAGATATAGATCTTCAACTAAGTGAAGCCCCAACCAGAACCACTACAAAGAAATAAAAATTGACAATCTTACAGAAATTTCTAACAATATTTTTCTAACAAAAATTTCATTCTTGACGAATTAAAAAAGTTTTTTAGACGAATTACTCCAATCCAAGAAAATTGACAACCCAAATAGATAAATTAATTACTGATTAAGTAGACAATACCTCTACTCGTTCTTCCAAGCGTATAAGACTAATTGTAGGAAGATATACTTGATTGAGGAATTTTAACAAACACCTTCTTTCCTGAAAAAATTAACAGCTTTCTAAGTGATTCAAACCTAGTCAATCGGAAATCAATTAAAATAAAGGATAGATTATATGATTTAGAATAACAGCTTACCTCGAACTCAAATATAGTCGGCTGGATTTCCGTTAAGATGATTCTAAAAGAAGAAGAACAATCTGAAGGAAGGAATAACAATCTCCTTTTTCGGAATATTTCCGGGCAGTTGGCTCCAGGTAGATGACTTCGTTTAGATGAATAGCCATCTTCTTTTTTCGGATAATTTCACGGCAGACGACTCCTGGTAGATTTCGGCTGAAAAGTATCTTCTCTTTTGAGAAATTTCATGTTGTTGACGACACCAACAATCTCGAGGAACTCTGATTTGCGAAGAGGGAAGAAGGAAGGAAAGGAAGCGGAAAGAAAAAATAGAAGGGCGCAGGTTTTTAGCCCCAGTGTTATCGGCGCAGTTGACCGTCGTCGCCACCGGCAAACGCAGCGACAACATAGGGAACTTGTTCTCGGCCGATCCTCCCGCCCTCGCTTAGACATTTTGAGCTTGGGAAAATCAGAATATTCTAGCCAAGTAGCGGGTAAGCAAACAAATAAAGGAAACCAAATCATAAGGTAAAACACCCCTTGCCATCAAGGAAAAGCGGTAACACTCAAATGAAATAAAATGTCAAATGCTAACTGATCATAGTTAAACATGAGGCAATGACTTCATAACTACACAATATCATTTTATTGTTTCTAATGCTGGTCAAATAAAGCAGCGCTAAAAAACAAACATGTTGGTGAGATCGACAAACTCCAAAACATCTTGACTAAACATGTACATTATAGGATATTATAAACTATTTTAGTTTACTTCTAGCTTAAATCTATTTCCACTATAAGCAGGCTATTACCTCCATCAACTAAAAGAATCTATTTAAATGGTGAGAGATTTTAAAAGGACAATTATCTCTAAATATTTACCTTTGCGTCCCAATTATCCATATAAAACTAACAAAAATTATAGTATTATTCAAGTCCTCTACCGTAACTTTATTCTAATGTCAGTTCCAAGAAGAAAAACAACAGATGACAGAAAAAGAATAAATAGCAGTATTCTTAAAGCATTGGGCCATTAGCCCCATGCTCGAATAGTGAAAGTTCATTTTTAGGTTGAAATAATAAGAGCTTGCTTCATCAAGCCAGTTTACAGTGGTGAAATTTCAGAAAATTGTGTTATTTATTTTAGTATCATATAGAGTTCTCCCAAGTGATTCACCAGAATGAATGGTTTTAGCATCTCTTGTATTTACTTTAGTGTATTTAATATATTTATATGTATCTATATCTCTTAATAGATACAATGTTTCAAAAAAAAAAGACATTCAATGCAAAAAAAGAAGAGCACAACATCATTTTGTGGAATTACTTAACTTCCGAAGCTCTCCAGAAAAAGAGACTAAATAAAACGTGTACCTGATGTGATCATTGCTCTGAACACTACATAGTTATAGATCTTCAACTAAGTGAAGCCCCAACCAGAACCACTACAAAGAAATAAAAATTGACAATCTTACAGAAATTTCTAACAATATTTTTCTAACAAAAATTTCATTCTTGACGAATTAAAAAAGTTTTTTAGACGAATTACTCCAATCCAAGAAAATTGACAACCCAAATAGATAAATTAATTACTGATTAAGTAGACAATACCTCTACTCGTTCTTCCAAGCGTATAAGACTAATTGTAGGAAGATATACTTGATTGAGGAATTTTAACAAACACCTTCTTTCCTGAAAAAATTAACAGCTTTCTAAGTGATTCAAACCTAGTCAATCGGAAATCAATTAAAATAAAGGATAGATTATATGATTTAGAATAACAGCTTACCTCGAACTCAAATATAGTCGGCTGGATTTCCGTTAAGATGATTCTAAAAGAAGAAGAACAATCTGAAGGAAGGAATAACAATCTCCTTTTTCGGAATATTTCCGGGCAGTTGGCTCCAGGTAGATGACTTCGTTTAGATGAATAGCCATCTTCTTTTTTCGGATAATTTCATGGCAGACGACTCCTGGTAGATTTCGGCTGAAAAGTATCTTCTCTTTTGAGAAATTTCATGTTGTTGACGACACCAACAATCTCGAGGAACTCTGATTTGCGAAGAGGGAAGAAGGAAGGAAAGGAAGCGGAAAGAAAAAATAGAAGGGCGCAGGTTGGAAGACAATCGAAACCGAAAGGGAAAGGTAGAAGCCAGAGATCGATGAAGAAGGTTGCAGACTTGCAGTGACGGAAAAAAAAAAATTAGGCGGAAGTAAAAAGATCGGTGATGTTTGTAGGTAAAAGTTCCGGATCATTTTTAATGAACTGTGAACATGAATTTGTATGAAGGGTGAGATCATTTGTAAATCTACCGTAACTTTATTCTAATGTCAAGTTCCAAGAAGAAAAACAACAGATGACAGAAAAAGAATAAATAGCAGTATTCTTAAAGCATTGGGCCATTAGCCCCATGCTCGAATAGTGAAAGTTCATTTTTAGGTTGAAATAATAAGAGGTTGCTTCATCAAGCCAGTTTACAGTGGTGAAATTTCAGAAAATTGTGTTATTTATTTTAGTATTATATAGAGTTCTCCCAAGTGATTCACCAGAATGAATGGTTTTAGCATCTCTTGTATTTACTTTAGTGTATTTAATATATTTATATGTATCTATATCTCTTAATAGATACAATGTTTCAAAAAAAAAGACATTCAATGCAAAAAAAGAAGAGCACAACATCATTTTGTGGAATTACTTAACTTCCGAAGCTCTCCAGAAAAAGAGACTAAATAAAACGTGTACCTGATGTGATCATTGCTCTGAACACTACATAGATATAGATCTTCAACTAAGTGAAGCCCCAACCAGAACCACTACAAAGAAATAAAAATTGACAATCTTACAGAAATTTCTAACAATATTTTTCTAACAAAAATTTCATTCTTGACGAATTAAAAAAGTTTTTTAGACGAATTACTCCAATCCAAGAAAATTGACAACCCAAATAGATAAATTAATTACTGATTAAGTAGACAATACCTCTACTCGTTCTTCCAAGCGTATAAGACTAATTGTAGGAAGATACACTTGATTGAGGAATTTTAACAAACACCTTCTTTCCTGAAAAAATTAACAGCTTTCTAAGTGATTCAAACCTAGTCAATCGGAAATCAATTAAAATAAAGGATAGATTATATGATTTAGAATAACAGCTTACCTCGAACTCAAATATAGTCGGCTGGATTTCCGTTAAGATGATTCTAAAAGAAGAAGAACAATCTGAAGGAAGGAATAACAATCTCCTTTTTCGGAATATTTCCGGGCAGTTGGCTCCAGGTAGATGACTTCGTTTAGATGAATAGCCATCTTCTTTTTTCGGATAATTTCACGGCAGACGACTCCTGGTAGATTTCGGCTGAAAAGTATCTTCTCTTTTGAGAAATTTCATGTTGTTGACGACACCAACAATCTCGAGGAACTCTGATTTGCGAAGAGGGAAGAAGGAAGGAAAGGAAGCGGAAAGAAAAAATAGAAGGGCGCAGGTTGGAAGACAATCGAAACCGAAAGGGAAAGGTAGAAGCCAGAGATCGATGAAGAAGGTTGCAGACTTGCAGTGACGGAAAAAAAAAAAATTAGGCGGAAGTAAAAAGATCGGTGATGTTTGTAGGTAAAAGTTCCGGATCATTTTTAATGAACCGTGAACATGAATTTGTATGAAGGGTGAGATCATTTGCAAATGAACGGTGAAGATTGATTTGTATCGCTATTAAGTATAAGGATGAGAAACTGAGAATACATCTTTCCCCACCATATTTATTCTCCTAACGCGATGGTACGAGTCCTATGAGATAACTGCTGAAGAAATATGAGGTAACAATTCATTGATCATCTTTCTGCCATCTCTTCAGCAAGTTACTCCAAAGAAGTGTTAAAGCTTTACGTATATCAAACACTGCATTGAGATGTAAGGAGAGAGTTCAAGTCCGCCAATAAAATCGGTACAATTAAAAGGTTTTTTTTTTTCAAGAATGGGTGCTTTACAAATTACCATGTACAAAAGGGCACTTTTTGCCCATATTAACAATTACAAGTAGCTAAATGAACAAGAGTGGAATTGAAATAATACAGCTTCCTTTTCTGTCTTATATGGCATTGGACGTTATGTTTCGCCCTTTATCACCAGAAGCTTCAAGCATGAAATGGGCCTCTTTCTCAAGATGACCATTGATCAGGAACTGTGAGAAAATAGGTTGTCATTGCTTTTCTGAATCTTTTCTTGTATTGTTTTGGAGAAACTACTGTGGGAGATGCGTTCTTTGGGCCACCGAGTATGCCCGACGCCTTCACCCACGTCTCTAAGTGTTTGTCCCACGTATATTGTCTCATGTAATCTATGATCCCCAACACAAGCTCTTTCCGTTCTTCGTCCACCCCAACCAACAGAGAATAATCCATCACATCAACAGACTGGTAGAACAAGGAAACACCATTAGAGACAGCCATAATATCATCCTCTATTTATTTAATTTTGGAAAGAAATGCAATTTTTTTATAATATGGACCTACAAACAGTTTCTGAGAGCTTTTTTCGATTTTCTTATCAAAGCTTTATTAGATCTATTTTGCAGTCTTTGGTTCCCAGATGAGAAACAAAGATGAAAGAGTGAGAAGAAAAAAATAAGAAGAAATGATGACAAAAATAATACTATCAGCCATTAAATGGACAAAATGGGACCTGAATCTGATTTGGACAAAAAAGAGACTAAATATAATGTTAAGACTGAAATGCCCCTCATGGCAAATACCCTAATCCTTTTCTCTATCGTCTCTTATGCAGCATTGTAGCAATGCAAGCTATCGGCTTCCACTACCAGCCGCCGCCATCTGCACGCCCACTCCTTCTCCACGCCGCCTTCTTCACATCATCACCATCTCCATGCCGCTGCAGCCACTCCACACAGGCATCGCAGGTGCGCCACTCTTCTGTTTTCATCTTTCTCTTCTTCAGAGGAAAACATCAATGGAAAACATCAATTACTGGCAGCGATAGGCATCGATTGGGGGTAAGGTTAGTCTGGTGATCATGGGGTTTGGGGGTGGGGCAGCTGTTCTACAGGGGCTGGGGAGGGGGGCTGGGGCTGAGGAGAGGCTGGATCAGGCTGGGCTGGTGGGGGCTGGAGAGGAGGCTCGGCAGGAGCGATGCAAGGTGGCGGTCACTGGACGGACGGGGTGGTGGTCACTGGCGGTAGTCATGGGAGGGGTGGGGCGGTGGCATCTGGACGGGGCGGCAGCGGCAGTCACTGGACGGGGCAGGGTCACTGGACGGGCGGGGCGATGGTCACTGGATGATGGTCACTAGCGTTTGTCAATGAGGCGTTGGTTACCGCTGGACGGAGTCAGGTGGGATAACATCAGTAAGGGTGTAATGGTCATTTGAGTCCTTTTTTAGTCTCTTTTTTGAAATTTTTTAAAATACATCTTATTTTTGTCCATAACTTCTCCATTGGTATTATTTTTTGTCAAAACCCCATATAAGAAATCCGGTAGATGATATGTATCCATGTGGGAATAGAAAAGGAGAAGGTTTTAGAGAAAGTTGTTTTTGAAAAAGAAAAAAATATAGAGATATTACCCGAAATAGGACTAAAAGAGTTTGAAAATTCCAAA